TGTAGCGATGGTACATGTGGAACCAACGTTTACGGATGACCGTAATATGCTTCTTTAGAAACTATTAAGGCTTCTTTTAATATATGTACAAATATAAGAATTTAAAATCAACGTATGGAGCGCATTGTCGAGAAAATGAACCATAAGGTTTTCGATTTCGAGAAACGTTTATCTACACATGAATTTGAAAATTGGAAAAAGTCTATTCGGCTCTGATAGTTACTATTAATGTCATGACATTTAATTATCTGATTATGACATTTGCAAATATTTGTTTTAATGGGTAAAGGGGGTGCCAAAAGCAGGCTCAAAAACACCAATTGGGGAAAACCAATCCCTCTCTATTAAACAACACTTTGACAAAAATATAAATTTGTCGATAGTTTCATATATAAAATTATGTTGCTTTGACTTTGCATACTGGCATTTGCAAATATAAACTAGATTTTTGACATTATATGTTTTAATATTTAATATATAATTTAATATATATTTTTAATATTTAATATCAATTTGTATATATACAAATTGATAGATTTTAGAGAAATGTCCTTGTTTAACATAATTTGGCGATTAAGAGTTGCAGTGAGCTCCAAGCGTAAAATCAGCCGTTGCCTTGTTTTCCCTTAATATGAATCCTAAAAAAGTTTCAGGGTTGTCAAAAATATACGTATTACAAATTCATTACTGGACAAAGCATTTTACTAAAAAACCATTTGATTATCGAATTTTTTCTATAATTGATCATGGAATACCTGAATAAAATCATAGAAAATGATGATTTTTTTTGGCAATTTTATGCTAGTATTGGCTACTACTTCACTGACATGTGAAATTTTTTTTTCGATTCCAAAAACCAAAAAAAGAAACCCTTTTAAAAAACCTTTTAAAAGTTTTTATGAATTCCTTTAAAAAAATTTCAAAAAGGGCCCTGCAAGTAAAAATTTCAAAAGATAAAAGATTAAATTTTTTAAATTTTAAAATTTTCTTAAAAATTTTCAACTAAAAAAAATTTTAACTGAATCAACCGGGGAAAATAAAACCCCCTCAATTTCAGGAACGGGAAATATCCCCAAAACAGCCCTTTAAAAAATTAACGCACCCTAATTGCGCCTTTTACTATAATTCTCTCACGGGCAAACTTTTACAAATCGTCAAATTTTCCGGGGAAACCCAAATAAAGACCCCCAAATTTAAAAAATTTATTTTTGTACATTATAAGAATAAAAAAAATTGGGAAAAAAACACACTGTAATTTGGAATAGTTTTATTACAAATAAATGTCTTTTAAACGAGCGTTTGCAGACAGCTAACATGTAACACCGCGGGCCATGGCGATGGAATGCTCGAGTAGTCGAAAGCATGTACACCGTTTGTGTACCGGCTTGACAAGCGCTCCACGCAGAGCCGGGAACTCTTCTCGTATTGGTTGGACAGAACGCAAAATTTACTTTCGGTTTTATTTAAATGTTGATTTTCATAAATAAACGTGATGTATAAATGTTTATTCTGATTGCATATAGATATTCTATTGATTTACACCGGAAAAGTCACGGTAAGGTTTATTTAATAATGATTTATAAGGTTTTATTAGTTAAGGGAATTTGTGTTTACATTTTGGAGTCTGCAATCTTTACTTTATTGAGACTTGATGGTATACGGTATTTTTTCATATATGTAAAAATTGTTCGAAAACCAGTTTTATCGTTGTAACAGATGTTCCATTCGTGTTTAAATATTTAAATAGATTTGATTTGATAGAGAGTGTACAGGAACGTACCACGTTGGGGGCAGGATCTGACCCCTTAGCGTCTGTGAATTAAGCGTCTATACACGAAAATATCTTGTTCAAGCGCATTTTAGTTGTCTATTTCTTAATAAGTTCGTATTTTACCTATGTCCAGACACTGTAATAAGATCGTATTTTACCTATGTCCGGATACTGGAATAAGATCGTATTTTACCTATGTCCAGACACTGGAATAAGATCGTATTTTACATGTGTCCGGACACTTGAATAAGATCGTATTTTACCTATGTTCAGACACTGAAATAAGATCGTATTTTACCTATGTCCAGACACTGAAATAAGATCGTATTTTACATGTGTCCGGACACTGTAATAAGATCGTATTTTACCTGTGTCTGGACATTGGAATAAGATCGTATTTTACTTATGTCCAGACACTGGAATAAGATCGTATTTTGCATGTGTCCGGACACTGGAACAAGATCGTATTTAACCCGTGTCCGGACATTGGAATAAGATCGTATTTTACTTATGTCCAGACACTGGAATAAGATCGTATTTTACATGTGTCCGGACACTGGAATAAGATCGTATATTACCTGTGTCCAGACACTGGAATAAGATCAGACACTGGAATAAGATCGTATTCTACCAGTGTCCAGACACTGGAATAAGATCGTATTTTACCTATGTCCAGACACTGGAATAAGATCGCATTTTACATGTGTCCGGACACTTGAATAAGATCGCATTTTACCTGTGTTCAGACACTGAAATAAGATCGAATTTTACCTATGTCCAGACACTGAAATAAGATCATAATTTACATGTGTCTGGACACCGTAATAAAATCGTATTTTACCTGTGTCCGGACATTGGAATAAGATCGTATTTTACTTATGTCCAGACACTGGAATAAGATCGTACTTTACATGTGTCCGGACACTGGAACAAGATCGTATTTAACCCGTGTCCGGACATTGGAATAAGATCGTATTTTACTTATGTCCAGACACTGGAATAAGATCGTATTTTACATGTGTCCGGACACTGGAATAAGATCGTATATTACCTGTGTCCAGACACTGGAATAAGATCAGACACTGGAATAAGATCGTATTCTACCAGTGTCCAGACACTGGAATAAGATCGTATTTTACCTATGTCCAGACACTGGAATAAGATCGCATTTTACATGTGTCCGGACACTTGAAAAAGATCGCATTTTACCTATGTTCAGACACTGAAATAAGATCGAATTTTACCTATGTCCAGACACTGAATAAGATCGTATTTTACATGTGTCCGGACACCGTAATAAAATCGTATTTTACCTCTGTCCGGACATTGGAATAAGATCGTATTTTACTTATGTCCAGACACTGGAATAAGATTTTATTTTACATGTGTCCGGACACTGGAATAAGTTCGTATATTACCTGTGTCCAGACACAAGAATAAGAATCGGACACTGGAATAAGATCGTATTCTATCAGTGTCCAGACACTGGAATAAGATCGTATTTTACCTATGTCCAGACACTGGAATAAGATCGTATTTTACATGTGTCCGGACACTTGAATAAGATCGTATTTTACCTATGTCCAGACACTAAAATAAAATCGTATTTTACATGTGTCCGGACACTGGAATAAGATCGTATTTTACCTGTGTCAAGGCACTTGAATCAAATCGTATTTTACCTATGTCCAGACACTAGAATAAGACCAGACTCTGGAATAAGATCGTATTTTACCTGTGTCCAAACACTTGAATAAGATCGTATTTTACCTGTGTCCAGACACTGGAATAAGATCGTATTTGACATGTGTTCGGACACTGGAATAAGATCGTATTTTACCTGTGTCAAGACACTTGAATAAGATCATAGTTAACCTATGTCCAAACACTGGAATAAGATCGTTTTTTACCTATGTCCAGACACTAGAATAAGATCGTATTTTACCTGTGTCCAGACACTGGAATAAGATCGCATTTTACATGTGTCAAGAAACTGGAATAAGATCGTATTTTACCTATGTCCAGATACTGGAATAAGACCGTAGTTAACATATGTCCAGACACTGGAATAAGATCGTAGTTAACATATGTCCAGACACTGAAATAATATCTTATTTTACCTGTGTCCAGACACTTGAATAAGATCGTTTTTTACCTGTGTCCAGACACTAGAATAAGATCGTATTTCACCTGTGTCCAGACACTGGAATAAGATCGTATTTGACATGTGTTCGGACACTGGAATAAGATCGTATTTTACCTGTGTCAAGACACTGGAATAAGATCATAGTTAACCTATGTGTAGACACTGAAATAAGATTGTTTTTTACCTATGTCCAGACACTAGAATAAGATCGTATTTTACCTGTGTCCAGACACTGGAATAAGATCGCATTTTACATGTGTCAAGAAACTGGAATAAGATCGTATTTTACCTATGTCCAGAAACTGGAATAAGACCGTAGTTAACATATGTCCAGATACTGGAATAAGATCGTAGTTAACCTATGTCCAGACACTGGAATAATATCTTATTTTACCTGTGTCCAGACACTGAAATAAGATCGTATTTTACCTGTGTCCTGACATTCGAATGAGATCGTATTTTACCTGTGTCCAGACACTGAAATAAGATCGTATTTTACCTGTGTCCTGACACTCGAAAAAGATCGTATTTTACCTGTGTCCAGGTACTGGAATAAGATCGTAGTTAACCTATGTCCAAACACTGGAATAAGATCGTATTTACCTGTGTCCTGACACTGGAATAAGATTGTATTTTACATGTGTCCAGACACTGGAATTAGATTGTATTTTACCTGTGTCCAGACACTGGAATAAGATCGTCTGGAATAAGATCGTAGTTAACCTATGTCCAGACACTGCAATAAGATCGTATTTTACCTATGTCCAGATACTGGAATAAGATCGTATTTTGCCTATGACCAGACGACTGCCCGGGCATGTAAAATATCATTAATTTATTTTTAAAACCCTTGGGCCAAATATAAAATACCGAAAGAAGGGTTTGGGAAGTTCATAGTCAATTGGTTTCAGTTTAAAAAATTTTTATAAAATGTATAAAATCATATGGCAAAAGGTTTTTTCTGGAAAAAAAAACCCTTGGAAAGGTTTGTAACGTGACTAAAAACTAGACAGGGAAAAGTGAGTAGCCGATGTTTGTCCTTAAATTGTGCATATGTTCAGCATTTATATAGCAAAGTTATACCTAAGATTTCGCAGCATTCTCCTCTACTAACAGGAGAGAAAGTCACTGTGAGTGGTGTATGGTGATGCATGTCGAAATCTTCTTCCTCGTCATCAACATTTGACACGTCGCCGTCGTTCTCTACTAACAACCTCAGTTCTGTAATGTCGAACTCAAAATATATTTTGTGTAACAAGGGGAAATAAGATGAAATAAAATTACACCTAACAGAAAGACAAACAACTTTTCTCTCTTTTTAGCACTGTTGTTACATAAATGAAGCAAAATGAGTACAGTATATTATTGTGTATGTTTTAAATAATATCAAGTGTTTTCAAATGTATCTACTGTAACTTATTTGTTCACTTCTGTTAAAATAATTTTAAATAATATCAAGTGTTTCCAAATGTATCTACTGTAACTTATTTGGTCACTTCTGTTAAAATAAGTTCGTTCGTTTAAGAATAATTGTGCATCATTGTTGACTGGCTAATATATAAAACACTGCAAAAAGCTACGTTTAGCGACATGAGAGTAGTCAATAGTTTTGTAAACTTTCAAAACTGTTTTTAATGTTACCCTAGGAGGTCACTAATTGACATGAAATGGCATTTCTTTTATAATTTTGAAGGATTAAACCAGGAAATTGTTGATTCAAGAGTTCCATGTTTATTTGCTGCTTTTGTGTGTAAAATCTCTAAAATATACAAAGTTTTGGTACAAGGACAAAAAGAATGTTGCGAAAATACTGAATGACTCGTAAACAGTTCTTAAATACAATATTATATTCGTGTATAAGTCTCATTAGTAAATTTATTGGACCTGTTGAATAAAATAAGCATATTGAACGGGTGTAGTTTCAATACTGAATTTATTGTTGAATAAAATAATAATATGCTCGCAACAGAACCACTATACACAAAGAAGGGAGATCACTAAAGCTAATTTTTTATTTATTCTAAAGGTAATGAAAAATCAGTTTCTTAAATAAGAACTTTTGTGGACTAAAATTAAAAAAAAAAAGAAAAAATATTGGAAACAAGCAATTATCATAGTATTGCAAGCAATCCATAAGTCCCCTAGCGGTAAGAACCCCATCAACATTCTGAAGGGCCATTGGCCATTCACTATTGTTTCAATTTTTCTCTATTTTAAGTAAATTTGTTGGAAAAGTTCTTTAAAAGTGATCACAGGAAACAGTTTTTATGAACAGACAGACAGACAGACGGAATGAAGGACACTCTAAAGTTAATATTTGAAACATCCCTGTTACCAAAATATGACATTTTATAAGCAAAATTCTTAAAGAGGAAATAACTCTTGAATTAAAGATGCAATTTCATAAAAATTTTCAGCTCTTTTTGACTAATCACAAATATTGTTATATTTGCCATGTTTTAAGCCTATTTGTTGCCAAGGCAACTGATATTTTTTCAAAATAGGAAGAACAGATAAGACATGCATAACCTCAAGACTGCTATCTATCCATATGTCAAGTTTCATAAAAATATTTCCAGTACTTTTTGAGTTATCACTGGATTCAGTTTATGTGTAAAATTTGCCATATTTTCAGTCTATGTGTTGCCATAGCAACCAGAATTTTCAACATAGGAAGAAAAGAAAAAGACGTGCATAATCTCAAGACTGCCATCTACCCATATGTCAAGTTTCATAAAAATATTTCCAGTACTTTTTGCGTTATCACTGGATCCAGTTTATGTGTAAAATTTGCCATATTTTCAGCCTATTTGTTGCCATAGCAACCAGAATTTTCAACATAGGAAGAAAAGAAAAAGACGTGCATAATCTCCATACTGCCATCTATCCATATACCAAGTTTCATAAAAATATTTTCAGTACTTTTCAAGTTATTGCGGGATCCAGTTTTGTGGACGGACGGACTGACAGACAGACGGACAGACGGACGGACAGACGGACGGAGGGTAAACCTAAAGTCCCCTCCGGTAAACCGGTAGGGGACTAATTACATCTTCCTCAGGTATGAAATAGGAACATCGTTTTATATATATTTTTGGTAACTTGAAAGTAAAATAGACTATACCTGGGTGTGGTACAATTGAATTAGGTCGAGAAATGTTTGGCTCACTCCATGCACTTATTGGCGTGTTTGTATCCCGCCGTAAAGTATTTATATGACGACTGGCACTAGTGTTTGGGCGGGATATTGGGCTGATGTGTCCTTGACGGAAAAATTGCGTCTGGCTTTGCGCATGCGCAAGATTTTGTCGTCTGACTGCCGAGCTATAATTTAGCCTTTCCCTTTCAGCAGATAGGTAAATGTCTTCAACACTTATTGCAAAAATATCAGCAGACGACTTTGTCTTATATGCATGTACAGTAGAAGTGCGCCTGACTGACATAGAGTCATGCGTGTTGTGTGCAGAAGAATGCGTGCGTTGTGGAGGTGCAGATTTCGTCATCTGAAAACGTGAAATATATATTCTATAACACTTCAAATACAAACTAGTTTTCCCTTTGTGCAAACAACGGGTGGTTATGTGACTAGTCTCGTTTCATTTGATAGTGCAGATCACTTTCTATACTTAGATCAAGTTCTTTCAAACAGAATTGTTTTGGATTTGCGCTCGCTCTTATGGGCATTGAATACTCATACAACACAAAATAGAACGAAGTCGCTCAGTCATTAAATTATCAACCGTCCTCATTGGAAACAAAATTTCTCAAACACCGTGCCAAAAATAAAACGTGCAGGATTATTACCTGATATTTACTACTTCAAAATCCAAAAATGTATGTTTCAACTCTGAAACAATAAAAAAACATTGCCTTTCAATGTCGTTTGTACCAGAACAGTCTATATAAACTATACTGACGAATCGAAAATGTTTAAACAATGTTGTTCACTAAAAAAGTTGACCTTTAAAGGCAAGACTTTTATAATAAAAGTGTTGCCTTTAAAGGTCAACTTTTATTGTTGATAGTAAGGGAAAAATCTTTATAACTCTTGTATTCTTTTGACATGCAAGGTGATCTTAAACTATGCAAGGTTCGAATCTTCATTGAAATGTGAACACGTACTTCACATTTTTTGACAAATGTACGAGGGGCATATTTTAATTAGTGGCAAGGGCAGCGCTTTTTATAAATAAGTTATACCAGTAAAGTCCTTCAAAATATTCACCATGGACCTCTACACACTTTTCCAGCCTCGAAATTCACTCCGAAAAAGCATTTTTGAACTGTTCTTTGGGTATACTGTTTATAACAGGTAGAGATCAATTTCGGCGTCACTACGGGTTTCAAACCGGCGACCGCAAAGGCAAGATTTGATGTATGGATTTAACCAAAGGTGACAAGGAGAAAGGTCAGGACTACAAGTATAAGCCGCCAAGGCTGACCGGTGCGCTAGTGCATTGTCATGAAGTAATTTGATCATGCGCATCCCGGACCTTGGGTTCTTTGTAATGGAGTGATTAACCGAGGCTTTTTCAACCGCTCCCTTTTCTGGTCAGAAGTTAGCAAATGTGGGATCCAACGGGCACACACTTTCTTTAACTTTAACTTTTTATTCAAGATGGAAAACACATATGGCGCACTAAGGCCCGATATGTCGCTTATTTCCTCCACGGTACATCTTGCATCTTTATCAACTATAACTTTGAGAGTGTTGATGTCTTTTTCAGAGGTAGCGGAAATTTGCCGCCCAGTGTGTGGATCATCCTTAACATTAGTTCTACCTTCCTTTAACATTGACATCCACCTGACAATTGTACGACGTGGAAGGGCATTTTCCCATAAACTATATCTATATCGTTTTTATTTCTGACGTGCATTTACCGAATAACCCACGAATTTTGCAATAAGCTCTTTGCTCCTCTTTCAAATCAAAATGCAACTCAGCCATGTTTACAACCAGTATACAAAACCACATGTTTTTAAATGACCTTCTACTAAAGTTTTATTGCACGTGCAAACCGTGCGAAATAGAAAAAACAATAATCTTTCCAACTCAATTTAACAATTATTTGCACGTGAAAGTACATGCATAATATATATTACGCATATACTTTCACGTGCAGATCATTGTTAAATTGAGTTGTTGCCGCTTATTAAGATATGCCCCTCGGGGTGTAGTCCATTGGTTACTTAGTAACGTCAGTCTAACGAATTGTTAGAAAATTGTACAAATAATGTGATGAAAATTTCTTACTAGTTAAAAAAAGGTAAGTAATTCATGCGATTCATTGAGATGAAAAATATGCGTAATAGATAAATTAACGAACAACACATATATCATTTCGTCTGTTGCAGAACTGCAGAGCGCGACTACATTGCATTTATAAAATATTATAATTTGATAAAGTAATTACAATCTATAGTAACAAAAAAAGGTGAAAAAATATAATAATAATTTTCAAATATGGTATATATTTGAAAATAATTATATTTTTTCACCTTTCAATATATATATATATATATATATAGAAACCTGACACTTTATTTCTTTTAAATATTTTAAATCAAAACATGTGTAGTGAGTATTCATGTACTATACATATACTATACATGTTGCGTATTGTCAGTAGAATGCAGCTGAGCGTAAAATTTTAGTTTTTGCACGTGAACCCCGTGTATGCTGAACGATGTCAGATAGACAGTGATGTAAGGCACAATACATATGTTCAGTAACAATTTAGTGTTATTCACACCTAAAGTTGATAGCTTTCACAATGCTACGTTTATCAGAAGCAGAGAGAAATCAAGCAATAGGAATGCAGCTGGGTGGGGCATCTGTTGTTGACGTGACTAGAACATTTTACTGCAGTCGCAACACAGTTCATGAACTTGTAAGACGCTATAGACTTACAGGTGATGCGCACGATCGTCCAAGGCCGGGTAGGCCAAGGGCAACTATCCAAAGGGACGACCGTGCAATTATTTTAACTCACTTACGTGACAGGTTTAGACCTGCGACCTTGGCCGTGCCCGCGTTTAACGTAACTGAACAAACAATTCGCAATCAGCTGCGCGCACAACAACGCCCGATTAGAGCGCGACGCCCATATACAGGCGGTATTTCCACTTTACACCATCGTCATATTAGGTTGGTACGTGCGCACCGTCACTGGCTGCGACCTGACTGGAATACTGTCCTGTTTTCAGACGAGTCTCGTTACAATCTCAGTCTCGGCTGTGTAAGAATTTACCGTCGAAACGGCGAAAGGTTTGCACCTGTCTGTGTTAGACAGCATGGTTGTTTCGGTGGTGGAAGCGTCATGGTATGGGGCGGGATAATGAATGGACAAAAGACCCGGCTTATTGTTATGCACGGCAACTTAAACGCTCAGAGATACATCAACGAAATCTTGAATGCCGAGGCCATTCCGTTTATGCAAAGGAACGGTACCGTTGTGTTTCAACAAGACAACGCCCGTCCTCACACGGCGAGGATAACTCGCGCTCGCTTAGCTGCAGTCAACGTCAATACCATACAATGGCCAGCAATATCTCCAGATATGGGCATATCTGGGATGTACTTGGCAGAAATGTCCGACGACATCACGCCCCACAGAATATCCTCCAACTGACAAATGCATTGATAGCGGAATAGAAACAATCCTCCAAATAACCTTGTTCAACGTTTCGTCAATTCTATGCGTCGACGTGTTGACGCACTACTTAGAGTCAGAGGTGGCCACATTGAATTAAATGGAAAAATCGCATGCATTTTAAAACTGTTAATTAAATGATTAAAACCTACCTGCACGTAGTCAAAACGTTAAAATCACAGAATTGATAAATTGAATTTGACCTTTTTCTTAGAACTAGCGTAATTTAACAAACTTAAACATGATTAATAAACAACAAAATGCATACCAATGTTGCGCATGCATATCTTTTTCATGCCCAACATACGTTTTTACATTTCCGACCTCGATTTCCTGAAAAAAATATATATACACTGTCAGGTTTCTATTTTTCTATTTTTGCTGAGTATATATATATATATATATATACATATATATATATATATATATATATATATATATATATATATATATATATATATATATATATATATATATATATATATATATATAGCGTCGGAATAGCGTCGTTCATTGACGTTACGTCACTTCCATTGTTTTGTTTGATTTATCACATAAACCGAGGCGCAGGAGTGTAATAAAGCCATTTAATAAAAACGGTATTACACTAGACGATATTACACCATAGTGTATTCTAACACTGTCGGAAATTTTCCTATATAGACAAAGAAGGCCGGAAGCGTGCATTATTCTACAATAATGCACTCGCCGTTCTTATTATCTCCCTGTATATTTTCACTTTGAGGGCGCCATTTTGTTTAAAAATCTGATAAATTAAAACAATTTTTTGTCGAATTTTGTTGTGAAAACTATCTAGAATGATAGAAAATGGTCTAACTAAGAAAATGAATCCGAACACCAATATCTTTAATTCAGTCGTTAACGCTGTACAGACGTTTAAAGTGTTGTTTACGTGACGTCACAATGTAGCGCCAAACAGCACGTGCAAAACAATCAAATCAAGTACGTTATTTTAATATCGCAGACGAGTTAGGTTTTACATTTATTTCATTTTTAATAATTTGTATTTCGCTTGAATAATTATAGAGTGAAATAAAATGAACAAACAAAGTTTTATCAACGTTTTCAAAATTTGTTATTCTCAAAATGTTTCTACACACGGTAGATTTAACGACAGTTTTTTTCAACCCACTGGAACAGCCTTTAAAGAACGTTTCTATTGGAAACTCTGAGGCGAAAACAAATTTAACCACCAAACATAAAGTCCAACTTTATAATAATAATTATACTTTTTCTTGACGTGTTAGAATGGAAATAGATATTAATTCTTCGTGCATTATTGTATAATAATGCACGTTTTTCGTTCAAATGCGTTGTAATTAATCACTAAGGCCTATCGGCCTTCTTGATTATATTACTACGCATTTGAACTCAAACCGTGCATTATTCTACAACAATGCACTCAGAATTGATATATATTTCCTAAATAACACTTTGACGTCACGTCATTTGCGCTATAAACATAGCGTTAAAGCGCGCCAATGTTAGCGTTACACTATAGGCGCGTCAAAGAAAAATGACTCTTGATAACAGTTTACCGTTCTTATTTTATATATGTGATAAATAGAATATTATATTCGTGTAGATTCAATTCTAAATTTATTGAACTCGTTGAATAAAACAATATTATGCTCGCCAGAGGCTCGCATAATATGATTTTATTCAACTCGTTCAATAAATTTAGTATTAAACCTACACTCATGCAATATCCTCTATATATTTGTATGTAAAATAAATGCTGCTGAAGAAGGTCGCAAGGCCGAAAGCTACGGCAAATTTTAAATAGCGTTTTTGATTATATATATATAATATATATATATATATATATATATATATATATATATATATATATATATATATATATATATATATATATATATATATATATATATATATATATATATATATATATATTCAAACTGAAAATAATCATGGAAACCCAGGCGCTACTTATAAATCTAATCACATATAATGTAGGCGTTGATACTGAACATATATTTGAAATTTGAAGTAAAATCCATGAAGAAATAATAAGGTGTATAATAAATAAGGAAAATTCAATGTTTAAGACGTATAAACTTGTTATATTACATGTATGATGTGTTTGTTTTTTTAACAAACGGCTTCTTTGCATGTTTTAAGAAAAAGTCCTTTAATATGAATACCTCATTAC